CCCGGCACCACTCAGGGTTTTTCCATGCCAAGAAGGACAGAGGGCCGGAGCCCCTCAGCCACCATTGAGAAATCACATTCCTTCGGCCACAGCCCCGGGGGCCGCAGCCCTGCAGGGCACCACAGGTCCCCAACCCTCCCACGGCCCCCAGCACGGCTGCGTTGGGCACAGAGACCAGGAAAGGAAGAGCCGAGGTCACAGGGAACAGCAGCAGGGCTGCGGGCACAGCGTCCTGCCAACAGGGGCACCGCCCCCATAGCCCCCCCTTCATGCCCCCCCCCGTGGTGCTCAGCTGCAGCGCAGCATCACCTCCTGCCATCACCGTTTCCCGGTGGCACCTGGGAGGGGGGGGTTGCAGTGCCCGGCCCCCCCCCCCCCCCCCGCCACCCCCAGAGGAAGCCGGCGCAGCGCTGCCAGAGGATGTGTGACGCAGGCAGAGCCGTGCAAAGCATGAATGAGAGGAGTGGTTTCCTGCCCCCCCTCCCTCCCTCCCCTTCCACCTCCCCCCCAAACCCCCCCACCCCCCAGGTGCTGGCAGTTCCTCCTGCACAACTCTGGCTTCCTGAATCACCGACCCCGGAGGAACCGGCGGTGGGCAGCAGGCGTGGAGCTGCTTCCACCCCGACGGAGCCGCACTGAGAGCTGTATCTCCCCCTAAGCAGTGGGGCACCCCGAGCTCACCCCCCCTCCCCATGAATCCTAATGACCTCCAGCACATCACAGCCCCACCAGGAATCGCTGCATCCCCACTGCTGGGATACACACCAGGACACCCCCACAGCACAATAGCACAAAGCAATGCCAGAATCTCCCCCTGAGGGGTCAGAACCCATCTTTGGGGAGATTTAGGCTCACTCAGCCCACAAAGGTTTAAAACTGCTGACCAAAGCCAAGGACACCCCTTATCACTCAAGGTCTCCCATATGGGGCAGCCCTGGACCTCACAGCAACCCCATGGCAAGGGGAGGGGGGGGAGAAAGGGGACACGCAGCCAAACCCCCGCACCTTCAGCACAAACCCTTTTCCCAAATGCAACCAGGCAGGTTAAATAAATAAATAAAGCCAACAACAACAACAACAACAACAAAAAACCCCCAGCGCATAAATCCCCTTTTCAAACCCCATCCACACACCCGTCCGGAGAGGAAGGAAGGAGTTGAACAGCAAATAATAAAGAGACTGAAAACAAAGAGCCGGGGCGGCGCGGCTGGGGGTAAATTCCACCTCGGTGGCAGCTGGCGGCTGCGTGCGCACACAGCCCTGGGAACTGCCCCCCCAGCACGGCACAGAACCCCCCCAACCGTAACACAGCCAAACTTCACAGTGACGGTAACCCCGGTGCATGGGGAGAACCGCAGCACTCAGCCCTCCTCCCTCCCCCATCGAGGGCGGCTCAAAGCCTTCCACCAGGGGCTGCAGGGCTGCACAGCCCCTTCAGCTCCCTGCGCCGCACGGTGAGCTGCCACAGCTCCCCCCCCTTTAACCCCCCCCATACAGCCTGTATGACCTTGGCTGAGTCACAGCCCCACACCCCCCCCTCCCCAAACTCGAGGCTGTTGGGTGCAACGTGGGACCTCCCCACACCCAGTGCCCACCCTGGGCACCACCCTCAGCATCGCCACCTCTCCCGGAGGGGGACCTTGAAGAGGGGAGGAGGGGATGGGGCCGGGAGGGGCCACGGCAGCCCCTTCCCATGGAGCTCTTTGTCTCGCAGCTGCTCACCTGAGTTTCAGTTAAGCTTTCCAACGCTTGCATCACCGATTGCTCCGGCCTGGATGCCTGGGACTGAAAAATTACAGAGAAAAAAAAAATAAATAAATGAAATAAGGAAGGGGGGAGTGGGGGGGGATTAACATTACAAATGCAGAGAAAGAGGAGGCGGCTGCACGATGACAGTGTCACTTCCACTATTTCTACACAGCCCTGAGAACGCAGCCATGGGAAAGCAGCGCCGTGTGCCAGGGCTGGGGGCTGCAGGCACGTCCTGCATGGGGCGTTTGTCACGGATAGGTGCACGGGGGGGGGTCACACGGGGGCACTCACCATCAGGCCGGCCTCTACGGTGGGCACCAGCGTCAGTTTGCTGCCTTCCACCACCCCCAGGTCCTGCAGCTTCCCGGAGCTGAGGCGGCTGCGGGAGAGCAGAGAGGTCAGCGCGGCCCCGGGGGCGGCAGATAACGCTGCTGGGGGAAGGGGGGGGAAGCAGTGCTACAAAGGCCCCATCAGCACCCATAACTCTCCCCCTCCCCCCCCCCTTAAGTCCAGGATGCCCGCCCCACACAGTGACATCGTGCACTCCGGGGGGGCTCCGCGGCCCTGCAATGGGGCTGTGAGGGGCTCCTTGGTCGCCGCGGATAGGAAAGGAGGGGGGGGGGTCTGCGCGGCCGCCCCAGCGCGGCCCTTTGTCAGACAAAGGACTCCCCCTCCCCTCCTCTCCCCGCCGCCCCCCCGAGCTGCCGCCCCCGGCTTGAGGTGGAGGAGGAACGGGGATGCGGGGGGGGATGGGGGGTGTGAAAGGAGGAGGGGGGGGGGGGGGCGGTGCTGAGGCCGCGCCGCCGAAGTTGAGCGCAGAACAAAGGGCAGCGCCCGGCGCCGCACGGAGCCCCGCGGGCACGGCCGGGCCCCACCGCCCACAGAGCGACCGCGGCGGGGGCAGCGCGGGGCCTCCCGGAGCCCAACCCCCGCCCTCCCCCCTTCCCTCCCCCCCCACCCCTCGGAGGAATTGGGGCCGCGCAGGGGAAGGGGAGGGAGAGAGAGAGGGGGGGGGCCGCTCCGTACCTGTCTTTGTGCAGCAGCGCCAGGCGCTCCTTGGGCACCTTAAGGCGCTGCGACAGCCGCCGTTTCAGCCCCTCCACCGTCTCGTCCGGAGGAACGGCCACTTCGTACCGCGCCCCGGTGGTGGTGTGGATGCAGAGGTGGACGGGGCGCTCCGCGGGGAGAGGATCGCAGGGGGCGGCCCCGCGGCTGCAGCTCCGAGCGCCGGGCTGCGGCTCCATGCGGCCTGAGGGAGGAGCGATCGGTCGGTCGGTGCGGGACAAAGAGCGGCGGACGCGGGGAGCAGCCAACCGAGCGGTGCGGGTGTGTGTGTGTGTATGCGGGGGGGGGGGGGGACCCTCCGGGGGCCGCGTTCGCACCGGAGAATAATTAAAAAATATAAATCCCAAAAGGAGAAGAATAAATCCCGGCGCGGTTCGGGTCGGGGCGGTTCGGAGCGGAGCGCTGCGGGAGGATCGCGGTGCAGCGCCCGGGGCCGGACCCGCCGAACCGGCAGCGCCGCGCAGCCCTGCGAGCGCCGGGGGGCGGGGGGCGGGGGCAGCTCCAATGTAGCAACGTCCCGGGGGCGGAGCCTCGCCCTCATTCACTCCGTCTCCTCCGGCCTTCCCGACCAATCCGCGCCCTCGCAGCTCTCCGACATCCGCGGGTTTGAGCCAATAGGAGGCACGATCCGGTTCCCCACGTGGCAAGGTGTGGGCGGGGCCGTCCGGATTCCTCCGCCCACGCGGCGTTTGGCCACGCCCCCTCCGCCCCCCGCGCGCCCTCGCGCCGCTCCGCGCGGCCATTCATAATCCGCGGCCGCACAACAAAGGGCCTCGCGCGGGGGGGGGGGGGGGCGGCGGCACCGAGCGGCGCCGATGGGGCGAACGGCCCCGAAGGGGGAACGCGGAGCACCGGGAGAAGCTCCCCCCCCCCCCCCACGTCAAGAGCCCCCACCCGGAGCCGCGAGGCTGAGTGACGCGGAGCGGAAAGGGCGGGGGGGGAACGGCACAGCCGCCGCACCCGGTGCCCCTCCCCGCACCGCCCGGTACCGCCGCTGGGAAGGGCTCCTCCCGCCCGCAGCGCCCCGGCCCGGGGGGAGCGGCCACGGCGGCACCGGGGGGGGCCATGAGTCAGCACGGCGCGCGCGCCCTCTGCCGGCCCCGCCGCGCCGGGGGGGGGGCACAGCGCCCGGAGCCCCCGCATCGCCGTTCCACTCCGCGGTTCGATGGGGCTGGAGGGGAGAATGGGGGGGACGGGGACGGAGCGGCGCGGCCCCTCTCGTCGATGAGGGCAAAGCGCTGACAACGGCCCCGCGCCCCGGAGAGGGGCTGCAACGCGATCGTCCCCGGGAACCGCCGCTCACGGGACCACCTCCCCCCCCCAATCCCTCCATGAATAAAACCCACGCATCCGCGCTGAAACCCCTCCGCGGAACGGCCCCGCGCCCCTCAGCCCCGCTCCCCGTCCGCCACTCACCGAGCCCGGAGCGCTGCCCCGCGGATCCCGTCGCGATCAGAGCTCGGCTGCCTCCGGCGGCACCGGGGGAATGAACGTCGGAAAAAAAATAATAAAGCCCTAAAAGTTCCGGGAGGGCGCGAGCGGAGCGGTGCCCCCGAAACGCTGCCCCGTGCCGAGCGGTCGGAGCGCAGCCTGACGCGGAACCGCCGGGGAGGTGCCCCAAGTTTTATCCCGCACCGCCCAGGGTGGAGCCTGCCGGGGGCAGGGACCGGCCTGGCCCCGCACCGGCCCCGCCAGCGGCCTCGGCACGGCCGCACCTGCTCCCGGAGGGAGGGAGGGAGGGAGAGAGGAAGGGAGGAATGGAGGGAGATGTCCCGGCGGTGCCCCCCCGGCTCCCGGTGCACCGGGAGAGATCGTTCCCTCCTGGGGTCCGGCTCTGTCCTTCGGGGTGGTGCTGTGTGTGGAGGGGTCCGGTCCCAGCGCTGCCTCCGGTGCCGCCGCAGCTCCGCCTCGCTGGGGGGGGCCGCCTCCGCCCGGCGTTGGAGAGGGGACGGCGCGAGGTCGGATCGGTGGGAGCCCCACGAGCGGTCCCGGAGGGGTTGCGGGGCTCGGGGCGGAGGTAGCGTTGGCGTTGCCCTGAAATCCGGATCGCTCTCCCCACGGAGAATGGGGCGCGGGTCGGGATCGGAGCCGGCAAACCCCCGGGAGCTGTGAGCCGGGACTGCGGGGCTCTGTCTGACCCCGCGCTGCCCCCGCCGGGCTCCCGCTCGCAGACAATGCCCCGCAACGCGCGGAGGGACACAAAGAGGCTGCGGGAGGAGATGGCCGCGCACCCCCGGCCCCTCGAGGCAGCAGAGCGCGGAGCCCCGGGGGGATCCCGGTACCCCGCGGCAGTCGGGGCCGTTCTGTGCCGGGTGAGAGCGAGGCCTCTCGGGCAGAGAGAGAGCCTTTGTGGCACAGCCCCGCGTCCCCCGCCCGCCCCGGCCCCGCGGGCTCTCGGGGGGCGATGAGCTCAGGCTCCGCTGTGCCATTGTCCCCGGGAGAGGGCCGGGCCGGGACGCGCCATTGTTCTCCCCTGGCCTCTCGGCCGCCCCTCCGGCGATCACAGCGCTGCGTGGGTGAAAAACCCCACGGGGACGCGGCTGTGGGGGTCCACGGAGCCACATCGTCACGGAACGGGGCCTCTCCCGACCCCACGCTTGGGGTCTGCGGGGCCACAAAGGGACGCGGCAACCGAGGGGCAGCGCTCGGTGTTGGCACGGGGTTCGTTGGAGCGCCCGATGCCCCGAGGCAGCGCCTGCCCAGCAGCCCCCAGCCCCGCTCTGCTCCCCCATCGTACTCAGCTCCAGGCAGTGCGTGTGGCTGCGGGTTCAGGTGAAGGTATCCGAGGCCTCCAGAGACGGTGCCGGGAGATCCCAGGGCTCCCAGCAGCCCCGATTTTTGTGTGTTTAGTTTATTGGGTTGCCCTGGGAATAAATCGTTAAAGATGACGCTCAGACTCTGGGCAATAATCGCTGTGCTGCATCGGAGGTCTCCAGAGGGAACATTCCCCAAACCCCACACCGGAGCTGCTCGGGGAGAGACGACGCAATGAGCAAACAGGGATGTGAGCCCCACTGCTCTGCAGTGCTCCCCACACACCCCACCCCACCCGTGAGCTGCGGCAGAGGGGATGTGGGGTCCCAGGGGACACAGGAGGGCCCATCCCCACCGCAGGGGCTGAGCTGGGGCAGCGCTGGCACCTCCGCATCTCCCAGGAGCCCAAAGCTCCCGGGGTTCTTGGAAGTGCTGTCCCTCGAAGGAAGGGAGTTCCCAGGGCTCCTTCTTTGGGGAAATCCCCCACCAGCCCCAGGCTGCAGCTTTGCTCTTTGCTCTTTTCTCCCTGATCTCTCTCTCCTTTTTCTGTTTTGTTTCAGGTTTTTTTTTTTTTTCTTTTTTTTTTTCCCTTTTGGACCGAATTCCTGTCTGATTTTGCAGCTTTGGCAAACGCGGGTTTTATCGCAAGTCTCTGCATTCCCCTCGCAGGTCATGGGATTAGGGCAGAGGCAGAGAGCGAGGGAGGAGGGAAGGAGGGGAGCAGGGGCTGCTGCTGCTGCAGAGCAAAGCAAGGATGGAGCCTGGGGGACCCAGGGGGCACGGGGGCCCTTTTCCCAGTGCCACCATTGAGCCTCCGACCCTGAACGGAGCGATGCCACCCCTATGGGGTGCAAGGGCCCATGTGGGGCAGGCAGTGCTGAGTTCCAGCAGTGAGTGGGAGCGTTCCCACGGGCACGGGGCCAGCATAGGGCTCACAGACACACCCCAGCAATGCGGTGCAGCCGAACCGCTTCACCCCTGCCCACCCCGACCCCGTGTGTGTGTGGGGGGGAGGTGTGGGGTTTGCAGCTGGGTCACGGCTCCCGGAACCCCCCCCCCCCCCCCACCCCCTAGGATGAGCAGCACAGCCTGAGTCACGGCAGTGATGGTGATTCGTGTCACCGTGATGTGCTCAGGTGAGCTGGGCGGCGAGGGAGGACCAGCAACCCCTTCCCCCCCCTCCTTCCCCCAGCTCTGGGCCTGACCCCAAGCAGATTCCCCCCACCCAGTGGGGCTGGGGGTGATGTGGGGTGGGTGAGGTGTCCTCGGGCAGCACTGCGTGCCGGTGACGCCGAAGGGCTGTAAACACCCAGGTGTGTCCTTAGAAACGCACCATCGGCTCCATGTGTTTCTCGGCCCTTGGGAACGTGTCCTGGTGGCCCCTGACAGCGCGTCCGGGTGTCACTCCCAGGGACACCTTGGCAGCTGGACACAGCCCAGCCTCACCTCTGGGCTATGGGGCACCCCACAGCGCTCGGCCAGCACCCGGAGGTGATAAATCCCACAGGAGAGCCCTCGGGGAGCAGCCAGCAGTGCCCAAGTCAGGGCTGACCCCCAAGCAGCCACACGGCCTGGCTCTGCCCCAGGAGGGATGGCGAATCCCCTGGATATAGCAGCCCGGGCAGCCCAGGTGTGGGGCCATACTTGGCCGTGCTGCAGCCCCGCTGCCCGCGCTGAGGCCGGCGCTATTCTGAGCACCCTGAGCTCACGGCCCCTCGGAACGCCGCGCTCCATCCGCGGTGACGCAGGAGAGCGGCTCCATGCCAGCCCTGGCACACGGCCGACCCCAGGCAGCACCACCCCTCGGCCCCAAGCACTGGGGCTGCCATTTGGCTGCTTCCCTCAGCTGGCATGGGTGCAGCCCTGCTCTGCTCAGCCTCAGTGCTGGAAACGTGGGCTCTAAGCTCTGCCAGGCTGGGGAGGGGGCTGCAGGGTGCCGTGGGGTGAGGAGCCCCAGATCCTGACGGCCCCCTTTGCAGCTCTGCAGCGCCCGGTGTTGGGATCTGTCCCCATCCAACACGGCTGTTCCTCAGCCGCTGCCACATGGGTTGGTAGGCCTTAAATCACCGTCTCCAGCAGCCAGACGACACCCAGCCTGGTGGTGGTGGCGCTATTATTATTATTATCATCATTATTATTATTATAATTATTGCAAATGCTTAAGCAAGTCGCCAGCCCTGGGCAGGGGAAGAACCTGTGCTTTCAGTCTCCATGGCTGTGTGCTAAGCCCAACTCCTCAGGTGACCCCAGCTCATAGATCAGGGGGGATTTGCCCCCCTGTTGCCCAGCACTCAGTCCGTGTGGGGTCAGCCCAAACCAGAGTGGCCAACCCACTGGGGCCCAGCCACCCCAACCTGCCCTGTGCACCCCACAGAGGGTGGTGACAGTGGGTTCTCATGGTGCACCGTGGGGGGATGAACTCTTCTGCCCCACTTTGGGGCGCAGCATCCTCTGCGCCCGTCCTACAGCCCCACACGTCCCACCCCGCAGCTTCAGGAGGGCTCAGTGCACACATGTGGGGGCCCACGGGTTGGGGGGGGGGGGGGGCAAACCTGCAGGCACTGCAACGCATCCCCAGGCACCCACCCTGCTGTGGCTGCACAACACGCGGGCACGGTGCCGGCTCTGCGTTGGGATCCTGCGGGCCCCAAATGTGTGCCAAGAGCCGGAGGCAACGCCTGGTGTGGGATGGAGGGAACCCGGGGTGGGGGTGGAGCTCCGTCCCACGGGTGCCCCACGCGCTGACACACAGCAACACTCAGCATGCTGGCATTCCCACCCCTGCGCCTTCCAGTGCCCCGCTTGGAGCCACACCAGGAACGTGGGCAGCTCATGAATGGGGGGGACACAGCCCTGCATCCCCCCCAGCTCTTATCAAGAGGGGCCCCACGGCTGCCCCAGCCCAGCCCTCCCAGGGCACTGCAGAAACCACCACGCCGTGTGCTTCTGGTTGGGGGATGCCAGCACTGCTGCTGTGCCCCGCACCAGATCCCGTGTCTCGGTGCGCTTAGGGCTGCCTCCAGCCATTCCCCAGCTTCCATAGGGATGCGAAGTCACGGCTTTGTTCTGGGAATGAAGGAAGGAAGTCCTGCACTGATCCAGACCCCGCGTGGCGCCGCCGCCGCACGGCGAGCATCACCCCAATGATGCATCCCATCTACAGGACTGTGCTGTGCCCATGTCCCAGCTCAGGGAACCGAGGCCGACGGGGAAGTGACGTGCAGGCCAGTGAGTCAGTGCGGAGCTGAGAAGAGGTGCAGGAATCCAACCCTGGGCCGGACCCACTGCGCTGCATTCCCCAACGCCGCGACGCTGCGGGGCGACGGCTCAGCACAACCCGGCATCACCTGCGGGGAACTGAGGCAGTGCTGGGGAAGTGACTCACACACACCATTGGGCTGTTCCACATGGCTCTGATTAGATAATGGGCGGAAGGATCAGAGGGAGCCCGGCAACCCACGTTAAACCTTTGTCTCCCTGTAGCGCCCACAGCTCCCAGTGGGGACCTTGGCCCTGAATTGCACTGTGGGCAGTCCAGGCTGCCATGGGCTGTGGGTGGGACACAGCACTGCCCGGTGTGGGCACTGCCTGCAGGTTGGGTTGGGGGGAGATATGATGTGACAGCGATGGGTCAGGCTGAGAGATCAAATTGTATGTGTCTCCAGGAGCAGTGCAGCCCTGAAGAGCCCATAGCATCACCCCACAGTGCAGGATGGGCTCGGGGTCCGAGGAGAACAGCAGGGGATGTTTGGCCCAACAGCCAAACAGAAGCAAAAGAGAAACACAAAACTGTGCAGGAAACCTCTGCAGAACGGGGACTGAGAGGCACCCATTGCTGGATGAGCTCAAAGCAGAGTCAGCTCCTGGATGGGAGGGGATGGGATGGGATGGGATGGGATGGGGTGGGATGGGATGGGATGGGATGGGATGGGATGGATGGGATGGGATGGATGGGATGGGATGGGATGGGATGGGATGGGATGGGATGGGATGGGATGGAATGGATGGGATGGGATGGGATGGGATGGGATGGGATGGGATGGGATGGGATGGGATGGGATGGGATGGAATGGATGGGA